GCTGCAGCAGTAATAATGAAATTTTATTTGAACCTCTCGCTGGACAGATCTTTTCTTTCAGATTTTCAATAACCATTTGACAGCACAAACTCAGCGATCTGGGTGGTATGCTTGGTTCTTGAAAAAGGACATCTTATTGCTTGTTGCAACCAAATGACAGCGTCCGACTTCTTGCCAACTGGGTGTAGGGTTGCTCAGCCTCGATCGCGCAGCGCAAGGTGTGTCAGCCGCGTATGGGAGTGCAATTTCAATTTCAGTGTTTCGGCGCAACAGAAAGTCTTTTAAGAAAACCAACTATAGACCAAAATTTTTGAGATTTGAGCTATCTTATGATAAGTGAGTATTGAAAAGAAGCTCTGTCGAACAAGGAAATGTTGAGTGCGAAGCATAATTTTATTCTTATTAATAAAAAAATGGTTAAGATCTTTGAAATTAAGGCTATTCAATGCTTATAGAGCGCGATGATCTAAAGCTACTGTTTGCTAATCCAGTCACATACCGTGCAAAGTATGCGAGCGTATGTGAAATGCACTCTTCATTTCAATGTTGCAGTGCAACAAGTAACTTTTTTGAAAAAACCGATATCGAAACTGGTCGAGATTGATCTTTCGAGTGGCTACTGAATATTCGAACGAAATCTTAGCTCACAGAAAATGCTTGAGTGCGAGGTGAGAATTTTTTTACTGTTACAGCGCAATATAAAATCCATTAAGAAAATAAAGTACACAGCCAAAATTCTGGAGATTGAGTTATCGAGTGTTCAATCACCTCCTTTAAAAAAGCAAAAATTCGTTTGTTAGAAGGGGCTTAAGATGGATGCGGATAGGTGGAAACTACCGATTATTTTCGATTTTCTGAGACTGGCAGGGCATGTTGCATTAGAAGATGCTCGGCAACAAGCAGACATGATATCACACGTTAACGGGAAACAACTCCGAAGATTAGCTGTAGCATTGCGAGAGAAGCAACCGAAAACGATCAGTGTCACCCTTCTCCAAATCAACTCTCTGCTTCACACTGAAAGACGTGAACCAGCCATTATCTCACGGTATAGCTACAGATATTATCATAATGGTGATGTATTGTCGATTACTTCAATGCTTCAGATAAATAACAACTGAATTAACAAAAGTGTCGAAAAGAGAAAAAGATTACGGAACAATCCAAAATAATCAGGGATGCACAAATTTCTTCACTAATTTGACATTTGACAGTGAAAGAAGGTACACCTATGTAGTGGAATTCTGAGTGCAGTAAAAGATTGATGCCCAAAAAATCAACCTTTTCGCCAATTATCCAGCATCAGAAATGACTTTTATCGGCTGACTGCCGCACAATGTTCTGATTTGAATAGCCCGACAGAAAGACTGTGAAAATGTTTCATCAGTTTCAACATCCCTTCAACGTCTATGCTGCGTGTACCTTTATAGATAATTTCATAAAATAGATGTCAAAGGTACGAGATTTGAACGTTAATGGCTTCTAACATTGTTCATGTAACAAGAATAAAGTTTGGGAAAAAGTTTTGAGAAAATTCTTGCAAAACATTTAATTATGCACCATTACACACTGAAAAAAGACAAAACGAAAGACAAAGTATTCCCCTTCAACTTCACTCAACTGTACCTCTCCAACTGCGTCTTCGCCCCAAGCCAGATTGATGCGTTCACTGGCCACCGTTGCATTTGAACCCAACACCCATTCGTGCATCATTAACAACCTAATTTGCTCGATTGGTTAACCCGTCTTGAAATAAGTAGGGAAATCATATACCAATCAACGCAGGAGAAGACGGGCTTTCAATAAGGCCAAAGACACAAACAATGGCAGACGGCCAAAAAAGTTACAAGCATTTCCTTAAAACTTTTCCCAAAATACTATCATGAACAAAACATCTACCTCATTAGGTACTTACAGGGGGGAAGAAAAGGGGACCGAGAAAAAAACTGTGATCGTTAAGAAATCTACAGTGAATAAGCTGTTAAGATAATGCAAACCAATTACTAGATGAAATTTTGTTATCCCTGCAGTATTTAGCTAGCAAATCTATTGTAGGGTCTCTCATAGAAAATTGATTTGCATTTTCTCAGGCGAAGACTGAGCGATCTTAATCATTATTGATGCCTATCTCAAATACATATTAACCCAGTCCCATAATCAGTCATACACTCATGGAAATTTCTAGAGATTTATGTTAAGCATCAAAAAACTTTATGATACATGTAAAACTTCAGTTTTTGTGCATTGGATAAATCGGCTTTTGTAGGAGAATGTAGTAATTTAGTTATCCAACTGTCGAATCACGTCTTAAATCCTTAGATCCCCTGAATCCGTCGCAATGATATCTATCAAAATCGTTTTCAAATTACACCAAGTATTGAATTCTGCTCTATAAATCTGAAAATATGCCAAAAAAATTTTGAACACTAGTGTGTTTAGCAATTTAGTCAAAGGGGTAAGATTATCACAAAGTAAGTTTGCCGTAGTACCAAGAGACCGCAGCAGAGTATTGAACGGACACTGGATGATTGATAGAGAAAATAGATAGGGGGAGATTCGTTTATCAGGGAAATTCACGACGACGAACAAAATTTGTCTTAGTTGTGTTGTTTGCTTGAAAACAAAGCTATCCACTAGTGTGACCCGATGACAGTGAAGGAAGATGTCAACTGTTTGTTATGGTCACCACGATAAATATAACCACAACCCTGCAAATTTATGAGCTTGCGACTCCCGACTGAGCTTTCTTATTCAGAACAGTGGTGACTCAATCAAAATCCCAATAATTGAAGAATCATGGCATACTTTAACCCATCATCATTTAGCCCAAACCGTAGTCAGTTGTCCGGAATGGAGAGTAGTTTTTGGCCATGGAACAAGGACCTAGTGAACTGATCGGGTATACCTGAAGCTGATGAACCAACAGATGAGTTATCTCAAATTTAACAATATGCTGTGCAATGCACGAAATGAATACGAGTTGGTTTATTTAGAAAAACTTTCTCAAGTGAGAAATGTTTTCAAATAGGATAATTGGGAAATGAGATATGCTATGTCAGGAGCTATGCTGCTCCATTTATTATCTTCTGTTGTATTCCAAGCGAGGAAAAATGATATAAACTCATGCATTCGTATTGGAAAAAATGGATAAGCCTCAAATTCAAGCAATATATCAGATAAAGCTATTATACTTCTGAAACTTTACAAATCGAGAGGGTTGTGAGCTGCGTCTTTTGTTCAGATGAAGCCCTGTCTTAATATAACAGTAATATGACATTATATGAACATATCGAATATTTTAAAGTCTGCATAAAGATGGGGATTAGGCTAAAATGTGCTTTTAGAGAAGTGATGTCTCACAGGTTTTCATAAGAGAAACTTAGAGAAACTCAAGAGTGGTCTGAAACTCGGATATGAACACATCGACTGAGGCAGCTCACGTGATCAATTCAAATATTTGAAAAGACTAGTTATGATTGTTGAGACATTAGCACTAATCGACGGGCGACTACCGTCAGTGTAAACCGAGCTAAGCAATTGACCAAAAACTGTGATGGCGCTCTACTCTAGTTGGGGCAAGGATGTGTGGTATCGGTATCCTTAAAATTACCCGCAGCCACATTAGCTCACATTTCGCTTATTTGCTATTCGATCACAAAAAAGAAAGCCAGTCATTATTTGCCAAAGGGTCTCTGCAGCCGTTTCTTCACGAAGAGCAACGAAGACGATCGCCGTTCTAAGCACAATCTAACCACCTAGACTAAAAGTATTCCATAAATTGCACTTAAACTAGTTCAAAAACACGACCAGGTTTATCCTAGCACGCTCTAGGCTTGACGTAAATCTCTAAAGATTGATGAGAAAAAGTAATTTCAATCAGTATCAAGCAACAGTGGATTTTTAAAAGGAGTGTATACAAGGTCGTGGTACAGTGCGTAGTATCACTGTGCGAATAACTGCTATAAGCTCATCATTGACATAAAGTAAGCCTTACGGTTTTTCATGCTATTTTTTCTAGAGAAAAAACACTAATGCGGCAAAACATGGCTTTTTCGCCAAATTCTCCACAAGGAGACATAGTGGGGGAAAAGAAGAAAATCGCAAGCGCTAGTTGAAATCGGTTTAGAGAAAATAGACTGTGACTTATATACTGAGCTGATTGTGAAACATGGACTTGCTGTGCATAATTTCACTGTGTGCCTCACCTTGTTAATTGTGTTCGATTGTTCTCACACAGCCTCTTAACGTTCTATTAAGATAGTGCCAGGCAAGAGACAGTTGATACAAACGGACGTATGTTTCTTTGAACCTGAATCTGTAGAAATCGATCAGGAGATTAGAGTATAAACTGAATGAAACTTTAAGCAGCTGTATGTGAAAGCGACGACAGCGAAGCGGCAGCTCTTAGGTTTGACGTCTGCATAGTGCAGGCGAGGTTTGTTTATGTTAATACGGTTCCACATGAATGGACGGGTTAGCTCGATACAACCGCTTATTTTTCGTCGTATTATCTACACACATTACATTCATTAGGCTGCACTCACAAGATAGGGTTTCTACTACGCTCAGTCCGAGTGTTCGACACCAGCAGTTCATTATGGAACCACAATAACAAAATTTGGTATATGGGACGCTCCTCCACCAACGATTATGATTTTCATTAAAAATGGAAATCATAAGATGTAGGAACTGACACACCTGAAATTCATAGGCCATTTTTGTTAAAGCTGCTGCATCAAATGGAGTGAGGACCAGAAATTCTAAGCCTTGTAGCACTTATTTTTTTCAATTCTTCATTCATAATTTACTCCTGCCTAGTAAGTTGCATTGAGAAGTTATTTTTTTAAGCTCTTATGCTATACTCACTACCTAAAACTGCGTTCCTAATCGAGTTGTTCTTGCAAGTCCTACTGCCGAAACTTTGTAATACGATACAACTGATAAATCTTAACTCATTTAAATCATACCCCAATATGTTGGAATACTGTGCAATAACGGTTTACTTCAGCCGGGATTCGAACCCAGATCTCACTCTTTCCGGGAGCGTACGCTACCGTTGCACTACCGACGCTGGCTTTGCACACAGCACTCTTATTTACGCTATAACGCGTTTCTGCCAACAGCCAACCGTCGACGCCAGTTATAGCGTAAATAAGAGTGCTCGTGCGAAGCGAGCGTCGTTCGGTAGTGCAACGGTTAGCATATACGCTCCCGGAAAGAGTGAGATCTGGGTTTGAATCCCGGCTGCATCGCAATCGTATTTGCACAGTTACTCCAACATATTGGCGTATGACATATAAGATCATACTCACTGCAAGTGGCAGTTCAAAATAGAAAGAATTTCAGACTCATTTAATTATACTTTGTCATTGAGCAGAGTAGAGCCTTTTTGCGAAGAAATGGCGGAATGTGTTTTAGGTGTAAAATACAAGCGCTACTACAGAAATCTTTATAAAGATAATGAATCTTAAAATTACATGTAATTTTCTTGCTGCGCAAAATGTTTGGTATGACATGTGAATAGATAATGAGACAGTAGTAATCATAGCTTCGGCACGAAATGAGAAAACACGAGGTCGATGAAGATCTCTTGTAGATCAGTCATCTTTGAACTTTGATGTACTCAAACAGCCATGATCAAGGTTGACAAACAGGTTCTAGAAAACATACACCACTTCCTCTTCTATTTGCGTCTAATTCCTCATCTTTAAACAAGACATTCTATTGCGAAAGTTTTTGCGTCGCAAGCACTTGTAAAACAGATACAGAAAAGGAAGCGCTCTCAATACTACTATAGCATAGAAATCGGCTATGGACTATCTATTGGGTAATAATTAGTAACAATTAACTATCTATTAAATTTTACCTCTTTGTAATAAACCAAATTTCCTGTGTGAATAATGTTGATATAATTACTTTTGTGGAACTCAGAAAACTGTAAGTACTCAGCATTTTAATTGCAATAATGTTGAATGCGCTTAGCTGAATATGTGCAAATGCTACACGGTGACAAAAGGTGTCAAAAGCTTGTTCCTTTGCAGTGCAAAACTCGTTAATGATTGCTATTGAACACCCTCGACTACCCATAAAAACTTTGCATGCGAGACATGATATTCTCGACTAGCATAACAAGTAGAGCATTCTAGTATACTTTGAACAATGACACTTGATGCGCAAAAACCGATTATGGACAACTTTGAGCAAACTACTCCCCACTCTTTACCCCCACCCGTCTGACGTCTACGTCAAATATTAAAACGAATCTCATACATCATATTCCAGACTTGGAACTAATTTACTCGTAACAATAAATTAAATAGGGAACTATTAGCCACCTAGTATATATGTTATTAGACGACTCGTAGTGTGTGTACGCATGCTGGCAATATGTTACTTTCCCTTATTCTAACTTAATTGTCTAACATCTGCGTGAACACGCGAAGAAACGGACACGTTTCCCACATTTTTTCTCGCTTCGTCTTCAAATCCCAGCTATACAACCCTTAAAGGGCCCAAAATCAGTTACGGCATGGGGCCAGACATTTAAAAGCCTATTCAGCTTTAAATTAAAAAAAATTGAACTAGCCTGATTCATCGGTCATCATTTTTTTCGCTGGCCCAACCAAATAAACATCCCTCAGCTCTCCCAGCTGTTAATTGTTTACAGTATACACTCTTAGCCACTCTTTGTCCGCTAAAAGACCGCGGGCACAATGCCCAACAGTAACTTCCATCTAGTGACTAACGGCATCATTAGTTGTATAATTTCGACATCAAATTTAAATCATCTAAGCAGTGCACAATTATAGGCTGGCCCGCATCATGCTGCAATTTAATCGAATAATTTCATTCTAACGACTGCTCTGCTACCGCTCATCACACAAAAAACTCCCGCAGGTCCATCGTCTATGCAGTCAGTTCGGAGAAGTTGGTCTGGGACTGTAATCTTGTGACACCTGTTTTTTGTAAATGCTTCCCAAGATAGTGTTTTTTTTTCCCCCCTCCCTCACCTATATGATTGCACTAGGCCGTTCTACCTACCAGGAGCTAGGACAACAACGGTTTCGTCTATTAGCAACCAACCAAATGATTCAAAATCTTACCAAAGCCCACAAAGTAAGATAACGCATGCGAATGAAGAACACAGTTTCCATCCCCACGTAGACCGGCTTTCGTAGGATGTTTGAAGAGTTCGTGTATTTTCGCCGAGACCCGGTGCATAATTATCCAGCGCCACGAGATGGTGAACCATTGGCTCTAATCCTCCAATGGCGTCTTTTATATGTATTTGAGACAATGCCCCATGATAATAACGAGACACAAAGGTAGCTTGTATCCGGTGTAGTACGGCACGGCAGTGCGTGGGATTCGCGACCCCCCCCCCCCCTACATTCCCTGTCCCGTCTGGAGACAAGAAGTTTTCACAATCTAAGGAGGCGGTTTACTGTGGATCCTAATCGAACAGGCTTAAATTCTCTGTTTTAAGCAAGTGCGGGCTGACGACACATGGTCCATTGTTTGCGGTAGACACGGACTTCAGATCTATAAACAGCGAATAAAGGGATTGAAGCTCTCACGTTGAAGATTACACACTCGGTAAGTGAGGGAGACTGTCGTCTCCGATGCATATGCATGTTGCATACTTTTTATTCACTTCCGTCGTGAGGTAGTGTATTTTGGCGCGTGCACTCACTGGGCTTGTGCTGCCGATAGTGTCCTCTCCGCGTGTGGCCCTTCCTCTTAAACCGAGGTCAGTTGCTGTCTTATCCTAGTTCTTTTTTGCGATTGTGATCGATATGGGTATCTGCCGATTTCAAAGTGGGATGTCTACCTAGCTGACTTTTGTCTGCTGTCGAAAAAAAGCTTTCGAGAGTCACAACGATATGACATTGATACTACAAACGATTTTACCCACGCGTCGATGCTCTTTTCGTGCTCTCAGCGCGAAGTATTAAATGAATTGTGTGGCCAAATGTACAGAGCGACATAATTCCTCGTATCTTGGGCTCTGACACCTTTATTCCAAAAGGTGTAGTTCAAAATAACTCGGTCCGTTGTGCCGCACCTTAACCAGACGGATTAAGCTGTGGATCATCCCCCCCCTGGCTCTACTCAACTCAGTTTCCATGAAAAGCTCTCTGTCCGAACGAAAGTTGTTTTCTGTTCTTCATGACGTGCACCGTCCAAAGCGGAATACAACAACAGAGAAGTGTTATGGACGAGCTGACCTAATTTTGAAAGTAGCAGTGACAAGTTCTGTTCTCTCGCCCTCTAAATTGACAAACAATATGCCAAGTGACTAGCGCGTTTTTTTATCATCCCCGCGAATTGATTATTTCCAGGATTCAAAGGCCAGAACGACATAGCTACTCCGACTCAGGAACAAGAAAAAACGTTCATAAAATCGCCGTCTATGCTTCACTTATCCAAGAAATATCCATATTTACCTCTCCAAACTATCTTGAAGTTTCAATTGACATCTAAATATACTGTCAACACTTCACAATTGCAAATGATAACCAACTTCAGTAGCGAACTCGTACCCATGGGTTGGTTGTTAACTGAACCTTGGACCAATTTTGCTCTCGTGTCAGAGGGGAACATTGTACGGGGCCAGCACTAGTTCTTGACCCTGACTAATGTTTGTTAGTTTGGATGAGAAGATTTTATACACCAACACTAGCAACCAGAGTAAGCGATGCCCCCGATTCGAGAGAGTATTAACCTCGTCCAAACTAAAACCAGTGTGCCGAAGGAATTCAAGAACTATAAGTTGTTTCACCTACTTTAACTATCGCAAGCCTCTCCCTCCCCGAGTACGTTGCTGACTAACTCAAGCGAGAGCTCTACTGTGTCAATATACTCGAGCAGACCCTAAACTCATTAGGAAACCTGGAGCTCCACGCCTAACTAGTAACCGCACTTTCATGGCTAAGAAAATGCAGTTATCAACAACCTGAAAAATCACTGCACGGCCTGTGGATGAGATCAGTCATAAATGGTTGATGTGGCGTATATCATAATGTGACAACAAGCTAGAATGTAATCAATACTCTCGTCGAAGTTTCGAGTGTTGTTTTCCTTAAGGACCCACTCAGCAGCTCAAACATTTCAATGATGACCGCACTGATGAATCATGTAAGGAGTCGCCTGACATGCCGCGGCTCACCATGACAGATTATCAGGCATATTGAAATTTGAGCTGTGGTCCTTAAGAAAACACTCGAATCGAGAGATATGATATTCTAGCTGTTGTCAAATTATGATAACCACTCAACATTTATGACTGTCTCATCACAGCCGGAAGATGTTTTCAGGTGTTGAACTGCATTTCTTAGCATGAAGTACGGTTACTGTAGGTGACTCAGCTAAGTTTATTGCTCAGTATTACACATTAGAGCTCTCGCTTGAGTTAGTCAACACTGATACTTCAAGAGTTAAGGGGTAGAAAACTATGTTCTGATTCTCGGCCACTGTTTTAGTTTGGACGTGTGAATACTCTAGCATAGCTTATCTGTGCTATTGGGAAAAATCTCTAATCCAATAAAACATTAGTCAGGCAAGAACTGTGCTGGCCCGTACAATTTCCCCTCTGACACGAGAGCAAATAGTCCATTCAGTTAAAAAACCAACATGTGTACAGTTCGCACTGAAGTTGGTTATCATTTGCAATTTGAGTTGAAAGTATAATTAGATGTCATTGAAACTTCAAATAGTTTGAGAGTAATATGGAATTTCTTATAGTGAAGCATAGAGTCGATTTTATGAGTTTCCTGAGTTCATAGCTATCTTCTCCTTTAATCATGGAAATATCATTCGCATATAAAAAACGCCTAGTCCTTCATTGTTTCATTTACACTTGTCACTGCTTTTCAAATTATCCTGCCATAACACTTCTCTGTTGTATTCCGTTGGACGGTGCAGATGAAGAAACAACTTTCGTTGGACAAGAGCTTTTCATGGAACTGTTAGTAAACATTCCAAAGCTTAATCTCTGGTAAGTGCGGCACACGACCGATTTTTTGAAACACCTTTGTATAAAGGTGTCAGATCCAAGATGAAATTATGTTT